ATCTGCATATGGCAGGTTGTTAATGAGTCTTCCTCCAATCCTGATGCCACGTTTTTCTTCATAGAACCCAGCTTCTCGGATTATTTGCTCAGCATGCAGGTTGCTCAGCTTCCAGAATCACAGCAACTCATAAGCCACCACAGTACGACAAACTTACAGACAAGTGGTGGAACTTCCAATGACACTATACTTATTTCCAGAGACTAATTTAAAATATGTAATTGTTGAGCACCTGGTGTGTCAAGCACTCTGCTAGGCTTTAACGATCCAGTGGTGAACAAGACAATCCTATTTCCTCTCTCTCCACACTTTTGTCTCTCAGCATGCATGTTAAAAACATTACTTCATTTATCCCTGCTCTTTCCTTGCCAAATTTAATTAAGAAATAGTCCGTACCTCATGATTCATTTTCTCTCCAGACTCTACCTTTCACTACTTTGTTGTTGTTTACCATTATGTCGGTTCAGACCCATAGACACCCTGGTTTCCAAGAGCAGCTCATGGGTTTGAATTGCCAACTTGCAGTTTCCAGTTCTGTATTTATCCTACAGCGCCACAACAGAACTCCTCACTACTTAAAGCCCTCACAACCTGGTGTTCCATCACTTTACTTCTCTAACCAGTTTTGCCTCCAAAAGCCTCTATTCTAAACACTGGGCTTATAGCTGTACAACAGACCCTCACACAGCCCCATTCATCCAGCATCAAGTTCTCAACCTTCGTCAGCAAATCCTATCACTTTCCTTTTCTAAATCCACAAGACTTTACCTTGTTTCCTCTACATACTCCAAATGAAGAAATTAATCTATATTAAGTTCAAGGGGAAATTCGCTGAGTGAATTCACACTTCACTGGTGAGCATATCCAGAACAAGTGTTAGGCAAAAGCACCCAGTCTCCCATTTGCCCATCTCTCCATCTGTACATCCCTTTCTTATATCTACTATAAATAAGGAGCCCTGGTGCTGCATCAGTTAAGCACTTGGCTGTTAATCAAAAGATTGGCTATTTGAACCTATCCAGAGACTTCACAGACAATCTAGTCATCTGCCCTTGTAAAGATTTGTTGTTGTTGTTGTTGTTAAGTGCTGTCTAATCAGTTTGGACTCATCGGACCCTGGATAGGGTTTCCAAGACTGTGAATCTTTGCACGAGCAGAAATCTTAGAAAATCCTATGGGACAATTCTACTCTGTCTCAGAGGGTTGCTATGAGTCAAAATCAACTTGACAACAAGCAGCAGCAACAACCCTGTAAGTAACTAGTTTTAGGAACATAAGACTCACCTGAGACTCCCAGACCCCAACATCTGACTACAGAATCAACAGTCTAGGGTAGACCCATCTCTTCCTCAAATAAATTATCCTGAAAAATAGCCAAACAAGGAATAAATATTTGTGTAGAACCACAGATTTTTGGCCGAAGTTGTCACTTAACACAGCACACCAGTACTGACCTACTTCATTTCACAGGATTCCTATGTCCCCTTCCAAAGCCCTATAATCTAAATTTATTTTCATAGCTTCATGTTTTTTCCTAGCCGCTCTGCGGGAGAAAGATGAGGCTTTCTGCTCCCGTAAAGATTTACAGCCTCGGAAACCCTGTACTGGGTCCCTATGGGTCGGAAATGACTCGACGGCACTTAACAACAACAATACTATAAAAAACTTCAGACTCTCACAAAACCCCAATTTGCTGCTGACTTGGAGCCTGACTTACATGTCATCTCCAGAGTGGGACATAGTTACACAAAAAGGAAAATTTATTTGAGTCTATCTTCCCCTATTCTTCCCAAAGTCACAAATCCCTTCAGAGACCTATAGCCTCCCATGGAGTTACCCCACCTATCCCAGAAGCCCTGCCTAAACCTGCTTGGACATGGTCATATACTGCTTAGCCAATGAGGCTGGTTTGAAGCAAGCTGATCTACAAAACTATATAATGCACCACAAACAGTGAATGGCTCTCAGCCACTTGGGGCGAGGAGGGTGTGGCATTTCAAAGCTGCTTAATTCCTGTGAGAGTCTGGCTCAGGATTATTGTTAAATTCCAACTCATAACAATCGTGTATAGGATTTCCAAGAAGTACCTGGTGCATTTGAACCGCTGACCTTGCTGTTAGTTGTCCAGTGCTTATTGTACAGTGTCACACCAAGACTGAATGAAATGGAATGTCTCAGAGGCAACCCTAAATGCTTGCCATTGCTTTGCTTCAGACCCTTGGCTGCAGCCTGGCAGCAGTTTTCAAACAATGTATACTTCACCATCAACAAAGTGCTCAGGGGGTCAAGAAGTAAAGTTTCACAGACACATACAGCCTCTGCCCTCACTACAGGCACATGCAGGCAGTGTGATGAGTACCATGTTGTAGGAACACAAAGGAAGGGAACTCAAGAGACTCGAGTTGAGTAGGAGTTTCCCTAAAAATGGATGGCTTATGGGTAAGGGTGGTCCCATCTGCAGTACAGGGGCCAGGGGCAAGAAATATAGTGTTTTTGAAGAACTGAAAGAAATTTCGTCTGATGGGGTAAAAAGGCTAGGGGTTGGAATGGAAGGGCATGGTAAGAGACAAAGGAGGGGAAAAAATCCTTGAGACTCTTGAGATAAAGGATCAGGTCTGATCCCGACACCACCTACCGAAGACTTTGCTCCCTGCTTAGCACAGAAGGAACACAAGAGCTCATTCATTGGGGAATGGTCCGAGTCCCACGTAAATTCCCAGAGCAGGCAGATTGTCCCAGTTAGTCTTAGAATAATTCTACTTAATAACTTAGATACACTGTAAGGTTGTATATCTTGGGGTCACTGAGAATGTGATTCCTATATAAGTAAACAAAACAAACAAACTTCTGATATATTGTTTCTATTTGACCCAAGTAGAGTTGCCAGATTTAGCAAGTAAAGATGATGTTGTTGTCATGTGCTGTCAAGTCTGACTCATAGCAACCCTCTGCACCACAGAACGAAATTCTGTCTGGTCCTCTGTTATCCCCATAATTGTTGTTACCCTTAAGCCCCTTACTACTGCCACTGTGAAAATCCATCTTGTTAGGGGTCTTCCTCTTTGTGCTGACCTTTTACTTTACCAATCATTATATCCTTCTCCAGGGACTGGTTCCTCCTGATAACATGTCTTAAGTATGAAAGACAAGTCTCACCGTCCTGTCTTCTAAGGAGCACTCTGGCTGTACCTCTTCCAACACACTTGTTTGTTCTTCTGGCAGCCCATGGTACTTTTAATAATCTTCCCCAGAACCATATCCAAATGCATTGATTCTTATTTTTTAATTCAATTTTTTCACAAACTTTTGAAGCCCCCTCATACAGTTGTTGTTGTTGTTATGTGCCGTGGAGTTAGTTCCGACTCATAGCAACCCTGCACAGGGTTTCCGAGGCTGTAAATCTTTATGGGAGCAGAAAGCCTCATCTTTCTCCTGAGGAATAGCTGGTAGTTTCCAACTGCTGACCTTGAGGTTTGCAGCCAGATTCGTAACCACTATGCTACCAAAGCTCCTCCTCGTACAGTTGTTGTTGTTGTTGTTAAGTGCCGTCGAGTCGGTTCCGACCCATAGCGACCCAGTACAGGGTTTCCAAGGGTGTAAATATTTACGGGAGTAGAAAGCCTCATCTTTCTCCCGCGGAGAGACTGGTAGTTTCGAACCGCCAACCTTAAGGTTCGCAGCCCGATTCGTAACCACTACGCTACTCCCAGTTAAATTTGAATGTAAAGGAATAAAACATGCTGTTTATCTACAATGCAAATTTAAATGGGAATGCTCTGTTTTATCTAGCGATGCTACCTACTGAGGAGCTTTATCATGTGTCTACAGATTATGAAAAGGAGTTCTGGTAGTGTAGTGATTACGAATCGGGCTGTGAGCCACAAGGTCAGCAGTTCGAAACTACCAGCTGTTCCATGGGAGAAAGATGAGGCTTTCTGCTCCTGTAAAGCTTTACAGCCTCGGAAACCCTGTACAGGGTCGCTATGGGTCGGAACCCACTCGACGGCACATAACAACAACAGATTATGAAAGTCACTGTTGGAGCCAGACACTTTTGGTGAGGATTGAGTAAATCAAAGCAATTGCTCAGTATCCAGACAAAACAGCTGGTCAAATTAAACATTCACCTTTCATTCAGGGACAGTGCTAAAACAAGCAGCACAGAGCTATTTTAAGGTCTCAGTGAAAAAATTACCTGCACCTTTGAATCAGATAGCTCCTGGATTCCTTTACTTGGGAACTCCAGGATACCAAAGACAGAAACAAATGGTTTCCCTGCCCTTTATGTTCTATTAAATGGAGCACTTTAACTAAAGGAACACCAGTGGCTCCATGGAAGGATTCTCGCCTGCCACCCGGGAAAGGTAGTTCAGTTCCCAGCCACTGCATTACATGTGCAGCTACCACCCTCTGTCAGCAGTGACTGCATATTGTTATGATGCCCTAGTGTGTTGCTGTAGGATAAGCAATGGACTGCTAGTCCCAAGGCTGGCAGTTCAAACACACCATCTGCTCTGAGAAAACCTCTGCAGGGTTGCTATGAGTTGCTCTACACCATCTACAATGATGTGGCATTGCAGAATCAACACTGGACTATTAGCCTCAAGATTGGCAGTTCAAACATACCAGCCACTCTGGGAAACCCCATACAGGGTTGCTGTGAGTCAGAACTTAACAACAACAATGATGCTGTGCAGGTTTCAACAGATTTTCCAGGCTAAGACAGATGAGGAAGAAAGGCCTGGTGATTAATATCTAAAAATCAGCCAATACTCCAATCCACAACCAATAGTGTGGATGGTGCAGGACTGGGCAGCATTTAATTCCCTATACATAGGCTGATCAGGAGCTGGGGCCACCTCAATGGCAACTAACAACTAAGGCATTACCCCATGACTTTCGGCCCTCTGACTAAAGGTGGAGAGCTTGACTTGCCAGAGCAGTCTGCAGCTCTACAATGGCACAGCTGGCTTAGACTGGGAACAAAGCACAGAGGAGGGCTACGTGCAACCCCTCTGGACTTCTGCAAAGAACTTCCCAGCTCTTTACTCCAAGAACCTGGAGTGGCTTGACCCTCCACATTGCCTCTCCACACCCAGGAATTTCCAGCTGAAAATTTGTCTTGACCTCCATCCAAGCAAATTTTGACCTCCACCCATGAGCTTTTGACTGCCACCATTTTGAACTTCACTGTGGTAAGGTTCCAAGCAAATTCCAGTAGATTCTTACAGAATCTCAAGAAGTGGGGCTGCATTTATTGTTTATTCTCCCTTTCTGAAAGTAAGCAAACATTGTACAGTGATTGAAAAGGTGACGCACCGTGATTGTTGACATTCTGGGTTCAGGAATCATGGTTATTAAATTAATATCCTCTAATCTCATAAAGTGGTAAAAGTATTACATTGCTAAACCTCACCGGGGTACTTTTCTAAGTTCCTCACATTTACCACCTCCAGAACAATCCACTCCAGGACTTCAGAATCAATTACCCGCAACCCTGAGATTGAGCAAACATTTTGTGACCTGAATTGGCTACAAAACTTGTCCTAACTGGTGTGACACTCTTTGTAGTCTCCCTGTATCTCACTTTGTACAACTAGCTATGTGGTTTACTGCAGAAATATTAGTGTTTGATTGCACATTTCTACCCTAGACTCTACTGTGAGTGCTGGATTCTTACCTTTATAAAATCTGATATTTTTAAAAAATGAGAACTCCATCTAGCTCTCAGAGTTTCACATAAGCTTATCTCATGCTTACTTAAAAGCAAAAACTGAAGAATCTCTGAAAGCAAGAAATCTTGGCAGGTTTGGTATAAATCACCATTTGTACTAGAGAAAGAGAAAGGATAAAAATAAAAGCCGTGTAGGCCCCTCTTTCCTTGACTCTCTTTCTTCAAGTCTATCTCACGGGCACGAAATATGCTTGCGGAGGAGGGGGCTGTGGTGCCTGCACAGTGATGTTGTCAAGATACGACTCCAAAACCAAGAAGATCCAGTATCCTTTGGTTGGCTTGTGACTCTGATCTGAACACATCTGGGGAGGGTGTGGCATCTGCCATTTTTCTTTCTCTCCAGGTATCTGTCACTCTCACTGCCTCTACATCTGTTCTCCCAGCTGCTTCTAAACTCCAGATCTTTCCCACAGACGCTTCCATCTAAGTAGGTCTGCCTCAGAGCTCTGCCCTCTATTTCTGCATAAACACTTTCTAGCTTTTGAGTAGGAGATTTCAGGGTGGGGGCTGGATGTGAAGGCCTTAACACAAAGAAGGGATGAGAGTTCTGGGAGAATAGTTAGGTCTTCTATGGAAACTAAAAAGAGTTATTTACCTGGCATTGTTAACTGATGCCTCAAGTCGCAAATAATAATACAAGGGAGCTTTAGAAAGTTCATGGAAAAATGCTTTGTTCACCCATGAATTGAGCCAGGATCAACTTCACCTTAAAATGGAAATTTGCTCCCTGATTGAATGAGGATGTAAAAGAGAAGTCTGGAATGACTTCCAACTTTTTGTCCTGGGTGACTGAGTGGTGTCGTCACAAACGAGAGAACTTGAATGAGAAGCGGCAGAGAGGGGAAATGCGCATGTTTCGCTTTGGACACATTGTGTTTGGGACCACTATAGAACATCTAAGAGGAATTGTCCAACAGGCATCTTGATGAACTGAAGCTATAATTTATTGGAAGTTATCAACACACTAATACAATGATAATAAAAATAACTAACATTTATTAGATGCTTATCATGTGCCAGACACTGTTCAAAGTAACTTAGATATATTATTGCATTCCCTTTTCAAAAGAATTAGAAATAGGTATCACTATCACTCCCATTTAAAAGAAGAGGAAACTGAGGCAGCAAGCATTAAATAGCTTGCTCTAAGTCTCATGGGCCAGTCTGTGGCTAAGCCAGGATTTCAGCCCACATGATCTGAAGGTAGCAGAAGCTACTGGAGAACTGTAAATACAGGACACTGTAGGATAAAAGAGAAAGGGAATGGGCAAAAAAAGAAACTCCCATAACACAGACTAATAGGGAGTAACCCGGCTGGAAGGAAGCATACTAGACAACAAAAAGTCCAAGTTCAAAGTGGCCAACAGTATGAAACACCAGAGAGTAGTAGTCCAATACCATTAGATTGCTTCCAGAACTATATCCGCAGAAAGACAGACTGGAAAGAGCGATACTGCGGTACAGGAGTGGTGGGAAGGCCAGAAAAGGCAGACAGCAACTTGCGGACAGCTCTTTGAAAAGATTTCACTATTAAGGGCAAGAGTGCTGGTGTGCCATTGTAAGTTAGTGGGCTGGACTGCAGGGTCAGTTTGAACTGCAAGGTCAGTAGTTCAAGCTCACCAGCCACTCCTTGGAAACCCTATACAGGGTTACTATGAGTTGGAACTGACTCAAAGGCATTTAACAACAACAAAAATTAAGGGAAAGAAAGACGGACCAGTAGCTGGAGAAAAACATAGGTTTGGATGTTTTGGATTTTTTAAACACAGCAAACACTGGAACTTGTTTCTTGGTTTAGGGAAATGATACCCTAGAAAGGAGAGGAGATTAGGACGTCTCTTGGGAGACAAGAGTAAGTGTGGTCCAGAGCACAAGAGAGAAAGAAGATTCCTCATGGAATGGAAATGAAACAGACTGCAGCCATAGGTGAGTTGTGGTCAACTCAGGAGTTGAAGGATGAGTCATAAGGTTAAGATTGAGGAAACAGTGAACACCAGAAGAGGCAATGAGAGAGAGAGAGGGTGGCACTTCCCTGACCGGGCAGGACAGAGGACTCTTTGTCTCCCTATATTACACAAGAAGAGTCAGCAACCACTGGCAAAAAGCCAAGCTGCAATCACACTTTATAAAATACCAAAACCCAGGCAAGAACCAATACCAGGGAAACAGGTAATACCTGTGAAAGTCACTCTGAGTTAAGCAATAAGAAAAGGGAAAAGAGAAGACCACACCCTGATCACATTTCCCTGGAAACAATCACAAAGCATAAAAAAGTACCAAAATACATACTCACTTAAGTATTAGGGCCACAGATAAACAGTAAACATGCCCAAGAAGCAAAAACAGATGACCATATCAGCACATGTCCAGAAAAAAGATAAAATATCTGAGACAA